AGCATTTCCTTTCGCAGTATGGTCGGTACTATGATTTTATGTCCTTTGAACATTAAACCATCAATGCATGTAATCTCGTCCCAGAAAGGCCAAAATGGGTAAGTGGATCTTGGTAAGTTGTCTTTGGTATCCGGCCAACCGGATTTGACGACTGCCTGCAATGTTTGAAGTTCCAGGTCTTCCTGTGTTGCTTTCTGAAATCGCTCGTACTGTTCTGGTGTCATGGGTAAGTATGCAATAGAGTTGACTTCAATATCAGGCATGAGCTGTTCTTTTGTTTCCTTAAGGAATGCACGGCTAAGGGTATCCGGCAAAAACATGGATTTTCCAGGTTTATATACAACTTCGAGGTCGTAACGCTGCAAGGTTAGCAGAAGGGACTGTAGTCTGGCAGGCGCTTGATAAAGCGGCTTACGACAAATTGCCTGGAGTGGCTTGTGGTCGTTCTCCACCAATACGTGGCGGCCAAATACATACTGATGAAATTTGGTACATCCAAACGATATGGCTAAGGCCTCTTTTTCGATTTTGGCGTAGTTTTGCTGACTCCTTGTTAAAGCCCGCGACCCGAATGCAATTGGCTGACCATCCTGAACAAGAGCAGCACCAAGGCCCTTCGAGCTGGCATCTACAGTCAAGGTTAGTGGCTTTCTCGGGTCATAGTAACGCAATACAGGTGTGTTGCTGACGAGATGCTTTAAAGTTTGAAAGCTTTCTTCCTGTGGTTTGTCCCAGTGGAAGCAGACGTCCTTCTCCAGCAGTGTTCTGAGTGATGAACTCACTTCGGATAAGTTTGGTAAAAACTTTCCTAGGTATTGTATGAAACCGAGAAATGTTTGTAGTTCTGAAACATTCTGTGGAGCAGGCATATCTTTAACAGCGCGACTTTTCTCAGGATCGGGCTGAATCCCTTCAGAGGTAAGTACATGCCCTACATACCCAACCTGGCTCTTCCGGAACCCGCACTTCTCAGCACTCAGTTTCAGATTGCGATCACGGATGCGATTCATGACAGCTCTTAGTCTATTATCATGTTCCTTCCTGTCTTTTCCCCATATCAGTATATCGTCTATTATTGCCTCACATCCTTCCAGGTCCCTAACCATATCTGAAATTGTGCGTTGGTAAATTTCAGAAGCAGAGTTTATGCCAAATGGTAGCCTGGTGAACCTATAGCGCCCATATGGAGTATTAAAAGTGCAGAGTTTCGAACTTTCTTCTGTGAGACCAATTTGCCAAAATCCAGATGTGGCGTATTTAGAAAACACCTTGGCTTCAGTGATCTGCTGTATGGCGTCATCAATGGTCTTGAGTGGGTAATGCTCTCTGCGAATGGCTTTGTTAAGATCCTTGGGATCTATGCAAATACGTAACTTTCCATTAGGTTTCAGCACGGTCACCATCGAATTAACCCATGCTGTGGTTCTTTCTGTTGAACGATAACACCAGCTTATTCCATGCAGTTGAGTTCATCCTTGATTTTGTCACGGAGTGCTAATGGCACACGACGAGGTGGATGTATCACTGGAGGCACCAATGGATCAATCTTGATTTCCTGTTTCACAGGTAAGAGTCCTAAGCCTTTGAAAACGTCGCCATATTCGGACTGAATATCCTTGGGAATATTTGTTGTTTCTGAACAGTCAAGCTTGTAGGCTCGCTTTACAAGTCCCATGGCTGAGCAAGAAACAGATCCTAGGATGGGTTCTGAAGGTAGGTCAACAACTTCAAAAGTGTTTTCACTTACATGGTCTCGATATATACACTGGAGTTTAATGTTGCCAACAGGTTTCACTTTATGTCCACTATAAGATTTCAAATTTGCCTTGGATAAAGCAAGCTGGTCAAGTTTTAAGCCTAGTTCATTGAAAATTTTCATTGATAACACATTACACTTAGCACCAGTGTCCAACTGGAAGCATACTGGCCTGTCATTAATCCTGATGAACTCGGTCCACTCTGTGTCCACCCTACCGATGTCTACATCCACACAACCCAGAAATAGTTCTTCAGCATCTGTAACAGGGACATGTACCGTATTAACATGCTTTGAGCCTGAGTGACATTTTTTTGCAAAATGGTCAAGACGGCCACATTTGTGACACCGATTTCCCTTGGCTGGACATGCTAAAGGGGACGCACTGTGTGAGAATCCACAACGTGAACAATCATCTATTTGCTGTTGTTTTGTGTGGTGCGAATTAGATTTCTGTCGTTGATGTTGTTTACCATTTTTTACAGGAACAGCTTTGTTTGGTTTGGTGGATTTCCAAGACTTAGGTTGTTTGGACGGTAGTTTGCTGCGAATGGCATGAATTGAAGTGTCTTCACCAGATATTTGTCTTGCCTGAGTTGTAGATTGTTCATGAAGTCGTGCAATGTCAAGTGATTTCTGCAGAGTCAAATCAGACCCAACGTTTACGAGTTTTTCACGTATTTTATGCGATTTTACACCAATGACAATTCGATCTCTGACCATTTCATCACTTTTCTCATAGTTGCAATCACGAACAAGTAATTTTAACTCTGTAACGAACTGATCAAATGTTTCTGTATCAGACTGAAGTCTAGTTTGAAATCTGTACCTGTTATAGATCACATTAGTTTGCGGCTTGACATACTCCTCAAACTTCTTGTAGTGTACACTTAGCTTTTTCCGATCATCCTCTGATAGGTTCCATGTAGCGAAGATATTACGACCTTTATCTCATACCCAAATCATCAGGTATGCACATCTTTCTGGTTCGGCTTTCAATTCAAGCGGCCCGGTAAACACAAATTCCACGTGTCGTTTGAAAGACTTCCAAGCACCCTCCAAGTCATAACTGTCCAAATTCATGGATGGACTTGATCCAATAAGGCTCTCCATCGTCCTTTTTAGAGATGATGGCTGTCGATGGCTTGGATTCGGCACACTTTTGACACCATATAAAGTTAGACACCCGTGCAACAGAACATAACATTTATTGTAATGTCTTCCGGTTTTTTGTATATTAGACAATTCGTACATAGATCATTGGTAATATGTGACAGCATGTGCATATGCAAAACCACACCATAGTAATTATGCAGATATTTAATAATTTTTCCTGGTTTCTTTTTGTGAAAAGCTTGAGTCTTAAACGCAATAATCTTTGTTTTTAAAAGCAATAATCTTTGCGTTTAACAAATATCAATAAGCCAAAGCTTTTAATTTTTTTTTACCATGCAGTGAGTATATTTTTTGATCGGTGGTGGACAAATATTCTTTTATTTTTTTCTTGTCAATTAAAAATATCATTTTGAATCACATAACTTCACATAAGCATGATATTGATGCCAAACAAGTTTATCTTTTAAAATAGATATTTGTGTGATTAATGGATATCCATATATTTGAATGTCTTTGATTTTAATACTGAGGCAAAATATTCCTTCTTAACGTTATCCGATCCTCAGCGAGGCGCGATAACTCTTATAAATTCCGGGAATAGTTTATTCGTATCATGGATTTTGGCTTTTACAATTATTTTGGAACTCTTATGCGAAATGAGGAGAAAATGTAATAGGTAAACAAAAGTATGGAGGGAAACCTATCAAAGGCAAGAGACAAGAAGGGTCGATTTAGAAAGCAGACCTCTGTATCTAAGAATGTTGACTGTAACAACAACGAAGTCAAGGAAGGAAACAATCTGAGAGAGTACAATAGCAATCCGATCGTGCCTGAGGCAGATCATGAAACACACGGTGATCAAGAACAAGACAGTTGTATATTTAGCAATTAATCCGTTTGAGGGTAGGCGTATTGTAGAGCTGGCAATTTTTGATGAACATCTGCGAAGGGGTTGTCATGTTTGTCACACACCTTTACATTTGAAGACTGTGTTGGAGAAAGACGGTACGGCCTTGCTAGTTTGTTGTATATAAAATGTAAGAATTGTTCTGAAACAACGATTGTTCCAACTGGGAAGCGGCATAATATTGGAGTGAATGGCCAAGGCCCCTTTGATGTGAACACAAAACTTGCAATTGGTATGTATTTCATTCTCAATATAATATTTTTATTACATTTGCATTAACACTTTGACAGAAAAAAGATAAAATTATAGTTGAAATGCTTATATAATTCTCACAGCCTAAAGTAAAATGTTGTCCCAGTGAACATAGCCACTTGTTTTCAAATTCAATCAAATGCAGTGTGATGTCTATAGAAAAAATAATTGTTGTCCTTTGATTTTTTTTAGCATTAGTACATGCTGGAATTGGAGAGGCTGTGATAAGCAAGATGTTTTCTTCACTGAACATTCCATGCATTACCCAGAAAAATTTGAAGAAAAGAGAGAGAAAAAGTTTCTCCTCATTAGAATCACTGGCAAGGAAAGCATGTGATGCTGCATTAGAAAAGGAAGTGAATGAATCAGGGTGAGAATTCTGTAATAATGATAGAAAATGACACAATTTTTGCCCTTTTTTCCTCATTTTTGGCTTTGAATTTGTAAATGAAAAACCTTGGTAGCATTATCAATACAAGGACACTTATTTATTTTTTAGTGAGAATGCCTTGGTGTTATCATATGATGCTGGTTGGCAAAAACGAGGAAGTGGTAGAAACTATAATAGTATATATATATATATATATATATATATATATATATATATATATATATATATATATATATATATTATAAATATCATGTGAAGCTTGGTATGTAGGTACATGTATCATATTAGTAAAATTATGAGTATTGATAAAAAGCTGTTCTTGTGGGAGATTCTGCTTTACCATAATAGTATACTCCCAGAATAGTTATTATAAAAAATATCTTTCCACACTACTTTTTATTCAATGTCTTTATTGATTTTTATCAGGTCATAGTTCATTGATTGGATGCCAGACTGGCTCTATTGTCAGCTATGATGTGATGTCCACTTCCTGCAGAATATGCGAACACAGTGAACGCAAAGGCTGTGAACCAAAAGAACACACCTGTAGGAAGAATTGAAGTGGAAGTGCCAAAGCCATGGAGCCAGCAATGGCAGTCAAGATGATAAAAAACATAAAAAGTAAAGGACACACTCTAAAGACACTAGTTATGGATGATGACACTAGCACAATTTGCAAAGTTCGTGAAGAAGTTGATCCAGACATTGAAAAATGCAGTGATAAAAATCATACTTTCAAAAACCTCACCAACCACCTGTTTACTCTTCAAAAAGAAAAGTACAAGAGGATCCTCAGCACAAAGACAATTACTCACATCAAAAAGTGTTTTGCCTATGCTGTGTCATCAAACAGGGGAAATCCATCAGCGCTGAAAGCAAATCTTATTGCCATACCACATCATCTCTTTGGAAATCACTCCACCTGTGATTCAAAGTGGTGTCGGTACCTTCAAAATAAAGAATCATACATCCCAAGGAATCTTCCCTATGGACGATATCTGTCAGATACCAATTTGCATGAAGATCTACTCCATCTGTCTTCATCATTTGCAGGGCAAGTTGATAAGCTTTCATCTCTAGAAAGCACCCAGGGCAATGGAAACTTCAACTATATGGTGTCAATGAAAAATCCTAAGAATAACTTCTATTCTGGATCTGAGAGCACCTCTGGAAGAGTTGCAGCTGCTGTATGTGAGACAAAATTTGGGGCCACAATATGTTACAAAGGTTAGCTTGTACTAAAGACATTAGTTAGTTTTAGTAAAAATTGTGAATCGTGTAATTTTAGGCGTGAAATTATAAAACGATGATTCTATATGTCTTTTCAGGTAAATGAAGAATTGAGTTTGTCCCCGGGATCATTTACGCTAAAGGATGCAGAAAGAAAAATGAAGAAAAGATGAATGCAGAAAAATCATCAACCAAAGAATGCAAGATTAGAAGAGTACAGCTGAAGAAAAAGTCTTCGGTCTCTACCACAACAGTGGAAACAAGAGAGGGAATAACCTATGAAAGTGGTGTCCTTTCCCAGACAGCAAATATTCCTGTTCATCAATTGGAGACAATTCCACCACCACCCCCACCACAACACATTCAAGTTCCATTGCCACCAGATGATTACAACAGAGAGTACTTTGACCTTGAGACAACTGGCCTTGGTATGCATATAAATTTGGAAATTTTATAAAGGAGGTGATTTCTTTTTCAAATTATTTTTACAAACTTTTTGAGATAGCAAACATACATTGATCTTTATGTTTCAGGACTATCATGTGAAATTATACAGTTGGCAGCAGCATGTGGAAATGAATGTTTCAGCTGTTATGTTATGCCAAAATCACCTGTTCAAGAACAAGCTACGCGGGTAACAGGGATGACATTTGATGGCACCACTCTGTACAAACGTGGCCTACCACATGAAGCAGTGTCTCTGGATGAATGTTTGTCATCATTTCACCGTTGGCTCACAGGAATACCTAAACCAGTTTTATTTGCACACAACTGTAGACAATTTGACAGCATAATTTTATGTCGTGCCATTTCAAATTGTAATTTTCATGTACTGTCTGAATGTATATATGGATTTTGTGATACTTTATCTATGCTAAAAGAGCACAGTTCTACTGCAACTACCAGTTACTCTTTAGAGACATTAGTGAAGAATGTACTAGGATGTTCATATGATGCACATGATGCAGTAGAAGATTGTAAATATTTGCAAAAGCTTACTGAGCATAGAAGTGTTGATGCATTTTATCTGAATTACACATTTTCTGCTTCCTATATCATGGATACTATAAAACAGATGGAAAGTACAAAATCAAATTTAGACTCCTTGATGCCTTTGATTAGAGGTAAAGTTGTATCAGATAGTATGGGGAAGAAGATTGCTTCCTCGGGCCTTTCTTTACATCATTTATGTTTAGCATATGAAAGAAAGGGATTTGATGGAGTCTTTAGCATATTTACAGAATGTTTTCATGGTAAAGTAAGGGTGACAAAACATAAAAAAATCATAACTGCTGTTGCAAACTTCTTGAAAGAGAGGTAACTCTGTCAAATTATTTACTGCATTGTATTTCAACCTATTGTATAATGAGTATTTCACTGGATACAACACATGTTTTAGTGATTATTTCATATTTCTGGTTCTATTGAACATTTCTGTGCTCCATAGCATGGATGGAAGATAGTATACAGAAAACCAACATTGTCTTTATTTTTCTTATATAACACTACAAAGATGATGATGAACTATTTTGGATACAAGCCTGGATACCATAGCAAATATTGATGAATTATGATTCAATGAGAAATAAACAAATCATTGACGTATCTATTTGAAGAAAATTTACTCGTAAGATTTTTTGGACCTGAGGAGCGGATAACCTTAATATCATTCTTCATCTTGTAGAAGAGTATTTCCTGAAAATCCATAACCAACAAATTCACCATGCCCGTATATAAGAAGTCCAAAAGGTGTATGATTTGTTGTGTGTATTGTAAGTTCACCGGGTATTACTCTCAATGTCAAAACCGTGAAGTTCCCTCTTCCTGAAGTTACCGAACTTTCATAAACTTTGTTCGATTGCAGAACTGATGTTCCGTTTGTTAAGATGTCAGACACGGCGCTGGAATCAATTGTGACGGACACGTAGTTGGTTTTGTAGTTGTATGGGATTGGCACCTTATAGTAATCAATGAACTGATGAATGCCTGGCACTATTGTCATATAAGGATCTCCATTTGTAGTGGTTGTCGATGCAACACTTACACTTGTAACAAGAATAGGACCCTCGGATTGTATTAAACATATTTGGTTGCTATAAATTGATATTTCGTGGGAATTTCCCGTCAGCAAAGTTAAGTCTGTCGCGATAGAATTTACGATGTATGTTAAGTTAGTGTCCTTCCCCGCTGTAACGTATATATGGTTGTCTGTCCGTATGATGTACTTGTATTTACTGCATTGTATTTCAACCTATTGTATAATGAGTATTTCACTGGATACAACACATGTTTTAGTGATTATTTCATATTTCTGGTTCGATAACCGTAGTAGAACACGTTTTAAACGTCATTAAAGTCATGAAATTATGAGAAAATAAATAACTTAGTGAAAATCGAACCAATTTTTTGATATATAGATGTGCGAAAATATTATTACATGTACTTCTTATTAAAAATGATTAATTAGACTTCACATGACTATAACATATTTTGCTGGAAATTCATTACCGTACAAGCTTTAGATTTAAGGTTGCCCATCTCTTTGATCTGTAAGAGATGTGAAGTAACAGATTGAATTTATCCTTATTATTTCTTAACTCTTATTATTCATTGAAAAAAAGTTAATTTGGAGTATTTTCGTCAAATCACAAATTCACAAATGTTTTAAACAAATATCAAAAGCACAAAAAATATCAACAAATTAATTATGTAAGGTAAATATATTTTCATTTTGTTGAGATTCATTCATGTAAAATAAATTCTAAAACTTTCCTTTCTTACCTTAACTTACCTTTAGATTCTTTTAAGAAAGCTGAAATCATTTTTCTTTATATACTTATCAACACGGAAGAAACGAATGTACTTGAAGGCCTTGAGTGTGTCAATAGTCTTTTTCGATTCACCTTAAAAGATTTTATGAGGTCCATTTTTAAAATAGTATTTCGCACTTTACCCGGTGACATTTAGACCATTCATCATTTAGGTCAATTTCAATTGTCATTTCACATAAATATATCTTTAAAAAATGAAGTTTTTTTTTTTTCATTCATTACCATTCAATTTTCGATAAATAGAACTGAATATAAGAAAAAAAATTGCAAAAGAATGTACATGATTTAAAAAAAAAGTTTAATTTCTTTCTTTCTTTTGAAAAAAAAATTCTTTGAACATTAATTTCGTATGGATGTACAGTACTCTACAAGAATACAGGATTCCGCATACCTCCCTAACGACCTTAATGTTACATGTTACCAATTCACTTAAAGCCTCATTATAGTAAGCAAGAAATCTAAACGCTTGTCTTATGTTTAAGAATAAAGAATTTCAATAAAACATTAAAAAAATCATATATATGCACGGTCACTACATGAATATTTAAAAAAAAAAATGGACGTGAATGGGCATGGAAATAATGGTAAAGCAATTGATAAAACTATGAGTTATCAATTTATCTATATATCGAAAGACTCTTGGTACGTTTTGCCAATAATTTTTTAAAAATGTGCACATTTGCAACTGAGAGCATCATGGCAATGAACCCGAATTACAATTTTTATACAGTAAAAAAAAATTGCTAAGAGAAAATGTCAATTAATGAAAATGGTATTGTTCAAATATATGAAGTAAAAGTGGAGCATTTTAAGTTATCAAAGAACAAGGAACAGTTTTAATAAAAATCTGGCGCTGTATTTTTCTAAAATATGGAATGATGTACGAAAATAAAACTCTTCATTTCTAAATCACTGAAATTCCCTGCAGTAAGTTTTTCTCATATGACCTCCTAAATGCTTATTGTGACGTCATGAACTTGGGCATTTTCTTAGAATGTTGCAGAAGACATCAATTTTTAGTGGAATTTTCTCTCAGATAAAATAGAGCACATGCATCGCCCAAAAAGATTTCGAAAAATGTGATTGTTCAAAGAATTTTAAACAACCTATCTGAAAACTGAAGTGGGCGACGGCTCTCGTTCACCGCGCCGCGATAAACCTAAGACGTAAACATAGGTAATGACTGTTCCTTCTCCAAACGCCCAACATAAGAAGTGAAAGCCACTGGTCTTTGGGATGGAGATCTTAAAAAACCGAGGTCAGGGGTAGGCGTTGGCACGATAAAGAACCCTCACTGCTCTGAGTATAGGTCTAACTTTGAAGCCCTTCACTGGTACATGTACAGTACCAACCAGACACCTAAGCAGTCCCAGAAAGCAGTCCCCGGGACTGCTTTGGGACCACTTTGGGACTGCTGTGGGACTGCTCTGGGACCGCTATGGGACTGCTGTGGGACTGCTCTAGAAAGCAGACCCAGCAGTTCCTGGGATTGCTTTCTGAGACTGCTTTGTTCACTCATGCGTGAAAAAGCTTCTGAGTGACAAGATAGCTCCGCCCCTTGTGTATTCTGAATTTCCAGGCTCCCTTTTGTTGTTTTGTTTACTTTCTGCGGAGAGGTGTTTAAGATAAAAAATTAAAAAAATGAAAGTAGTTAAAAAGGGACGTCAGGTGAAGACTTTTATCCCTTGAATTAAACTTCAATACAGGTATTTTGAGAAAAAATATCTAGGCCTATTTAATAAATTAATGCTATTAAATTATGTACTCAAAGCTTTTATTAGCACTATTAAAAAAAAAAACAAACAAAAACCAAACTTGTCATTTCAGTAAGATATTCAGAGGGACGTACCGTACTGGATTTTTTTTTAATTGAAAAAGCTAATACCATGCTTAAAAAGAGCACTCCATGCTATTTTTACCGCCCTCAAATAAAACCTAATACTTTATTAAATGATCATGAAAAAAATATTCTACCATTCTTCTGTCACATAAACAATGTGAATAATTATTGGGGGATTTATTTATGAATTAGTTTTTAATTTTTAAACAAGTTATTAAAAGAGTACATTTATTTAAAAAATAAACATTTGAAAATATCGGGAATTGTGAATTATTTCTTATTTGTTTTGTTTGTGTTTACCTGGCCGATTAATAAAAAGCAATACAATATGGTATAAAATGGTGTCAACACCTGAGGTTTCAATCATCTTTGGGCATGAGTAGCAGAAAGTCGATGCATGTTACTTGGGTATCAGTGTTGCACATCACTGAACACGCTGGTCAACAATGACAATAATTTCAATATATGTACTGCAAAAAATCTTTGTTTCAATAATTGTGTATGAATTTATTTCGGGATTAATTAATTTTGAATATATATCTGAGGGTTCCATTAGCGTGATTTACAGATGTACACTTGAACATTTATATAGTAAAACACTTAAAACTGAGAATCTGACGACAATTAAATTGGCAAGTCATTGAAAATAATCATGACTGAAAGATAATACTCGGCAAAATTTATCAAAGAATTTTTCAAAAGCTCCAATACTTAGGAAAATACATTCAGAGTAACGTATGGGAACTGGCCTTGCTCTATAATTATAAGATCTATTTAAAGCTTATTGTGGTAGAAAATAAACAATTCAAATTTAATTTTCTATATATATAAAAAAAAAATAAATAAATACAAAAACCAATATCAATCACAGAAAATAAAGACATTGATTTATTTTGGTGAAAAATTAATATACCAAATAATTGTGTTTAAATATTCATGTAATTAATGGGTGTGAATGTCTTCTTCGTTCAATAATTATTATTTATTTCTATACGCGTACTGTAAATTTCTTAAGAGTTCAGAAATGACTGTCGTGTAAGAATTGTAAATATTTGTTGATACTACTCAGAAAGAAATGATCACCAAGTTCAACTGCCTTTTATAGTTACATTGTTTATTGGTAAACTCATTTCTGAGTAAGCTCCACCCATTAAATTAATTAACCCCGCACACTGGGACTGCTGGGACCGCTGTGGGACTTCTCTGGGACCGCTGTGGGACTGCTTTAGCAGTCCCAGAAAGCAGTCCCCGGGACTGCTCTGGGGCTGTTTTGTGTCAGGTTGGGTCTGGTTGGTACTGTATATGGTGATCTCTATATGAGTGAAAAATTTCGAATAGGACGCAGGCCCGAAGCAACGGTTTCAAAAGTGAGGAGGGGGGCAACTTCCAAAAAAAAAATATCTGACAAGCCCCCCCCCCCCTAAAAAAAATTAAAATAAAATCATAAACTG